GTGGTGGGAGCTTTGGGAGGGACGGTTGGTGAAAGGGCTGGAGGGAGGCAGCATGTCTGGCCTTGCAGTAATAGGCCTTGGGTTACTGCTGGTAATCTTGTCTTCCTCTTGTGAGATTAGAGGAGATCAGAACATGTGGCCTCCCTGCCGTTTTTGCACCTTCCATATATAAACCTTTCCTTTCCTTTTTGCAATAATGAAGTAATACAATATTTGTTCTTCTAATAACATATTTTTAATGCCTGCCTTCCTCCCTAAATCTAGTATAGGATATTTATCCTAAATAGAAGCTAGATAGTGAGAGCATTTTGCTGCTAGAGGTAGAAACTCTTGACATTCTTTTATTTCTTATTTTCATCTATATACTAGTTTGAATGCTGCCTTCTTGCCAGCTCTAACTTCATATTGAGAATGTAGAATAAAGGGCACACCTTACAATGCCATTATAATCAATAATACGTTAGCAAATGTTCAGCAACTAGCTGTCTGAGAAGAAAAAAAAAAAAACTTGATCTGACTAATCTGAAGCACTTGCTGATTTCATGTTAAATTCCAAGCTACCAACATGATGTCACTGAATGAGGAGTTGGGAAGAAATGCTAACAACTGGCTCTTACAATCTAGCTCCAGAAGAACACTGATAGTAATATTTTGGATGTAATATTTTATATATTTTACAGAATGCTCCTTCTTCACCCTTGAACCTTTCAGAATAATTTAAAGATCTAACATAACATATTAATTCATACCAGACACTAAAAGAAAATAGTGATTTTTTTTTTTGGTTTAAGAATGTAAGATTCAATCTATATGAGTCATATACAAAACATTACTTTCATAATATCTTATTTAAAAGATTATAATTTAAAAGATACAAAACATGGTGACATCTTGGCTAATATCCTAGGAAATTTCCTTGGGAATATGGATAATAGTGTCACTTTTCAAAGCCTTTCCAGCATTCCTCTCTTTACTATACTTCACTAAAATTCCTTTGTGCCTCCATGTAGTCTATTCAGACTTCTGTCCTAGCTCTTTATCACTGCTTGTTTATCCCCAGTTACTAAACAGCTAAAACCTAGAACTATATATTGTTGTTGTTGTTATGTGCCATCAAGTCAGACCCGACTCATAGCGACCCCTTCTTGGGTTTCCAAGGCAGTATCACTACGGAAGTAGATTGCCCCATCTTCCTTCCAGGGAGTGGCTGGTGGGTTTGAACCGCCAGCCTTCTGGTTAGCAATCAAGTGCCTTAGCCACTATGCTACCAGAGCTCCCGAACTATGTATTATTAGTTTATATTCCTAGCACCTAGTAGAGTTCCTGACATATAATACATGCTTAATAAATATTGGTTCAATAAGTGAAATATTAGAAAGCAAAATAAACTCATATGTGGGGGAACTTACAAGGTTAGAATAGAGAACAAACCTAAGGAAATACTTACCATCTTATTCTGAAAGATTTTTCCACTTCTTGTTTTGCTTTCAGACACATCAAGTTCTGAGGTTTTATTGACTAGCTGTTCAACCTAAAAAAAATCCAAGGCACAATAATTGGTCTCTATTCACCTGTAGCAAAAGAGGAAGAAGGAGAGTCAGGAAGAGGAGGAGGATATGGAATGTGTGTTAATGACCTTCATGAACAACTGCCTCCTTTTGCCATGAGACCAGAACTGGATAGTTCCCAGCTACCATTACTAGACTTTTTGATCAAAGGTTCCATAGAAGAATCCTGATCAAAAGGGGAAATGCAGAATAGAATTTCACATTCTCACGGACTCTAGGCTTTCTGGAGCCATGGAGGGTGGATGAACCTCTGAAACTGTGTCCTGAGATAGTCTTTAAACTTCAAACCAAAAATATCCCCTGTAGTAATCTTAAAATTAAACAAAAGTTAAGCTTAACTAGTTAAAAAAAAAAAAAAGGTTTGCCTTGAACATTTTGCTCTTTTTTAAGAATCGTTTATATGGGATGAAATTGAGTAAGCTAGCTCTGGGACCAGTGGAATGCAGGTGTTTGCGTGTGTGAAGCTGACTTGGGCAAAGGCAGCAGTAAGCCAGCCTGGGACCAGCAGAAGGTGGGTGTTTGCCCCCAGGAGCAGGCTGGGTAACTGAGCAGGGTGGGGGAGACCAGGAAATGGAACAGAGCAGTTTAGAACAGCTAGGGGAGACAAACTTGTCTGTCAGTTTGTGGTACTGTGGTGGCTTGAGTGTTGCTGTGAGGCTGGAGACTATGGCACCAGTTTCAAATGCCAGCAGGGTTACCCATGGTGGACAGGTTTCAGTGGAGCTTCCAGACTAAGATAGACTTTGAAAAAGGAAGAGGCCAGCCACTTCTCAAAGAATTGGCCAGTGAAAACACTCTCTGATCTCTTACTTATAAATACCAGTGAAACACTCTCTAATATATTACTGGAAAACTTAATGAATAGCCCTGAAATACTGTCTGATATAGTGCCGGAAAATGAGCCCCTCTGGTCAGAAGGTACTAAAAATACAAGTGGAGAAGAGCTGCCTCTTCAGAACAGAGCCGACCTTAATGATGTGGAGAGAGTAAAGCTTTTGGGACCCCCATTTGCTGATGTGGCATGTCTCAAGATGAGAAGAAACAGCTGTAAACATCCATGAATAACTGGAACATGGAATGTATGAAGTTTGAATCTAGGAAAATTGGAAGTTGTCAAAAATGAAATGGAACATGTAAAGATCGTTATCCTAGGTATTAGTGAGCTGAAACAGACTGCTTTGGGCATTTTGAATCAGACAGTTATATGATCTACTATGCCAGGAATGACAAATTGAAGAAGAATGGCATGGCAATCATCACAAAGCACGTTTCAAGATCTATCCTGAAGTACAATGCTGTCAGTGATAGGATAATATCCATATGCCTACAAGAATACCAGTTAATACTACTATAATTCAAACTTACACACCAATCATCAAAGCCAAAGATGAGGAAATTGAAGACTTTTTTTTTACCAATTTCTGCAGTTTGAAATTGACCAAACATGCAATCAACATGTGTTAATTATCACTGGTGACTGGAATGCAAAATTTGGAAACAAAGAAGAATTGTCAGTAGTTGGAAAATATGGCCTTGGGAATAGAAATAACACGAGATCGCATGATAGAATTTCTTCAACAACATAAATGGCGGCTATCCATGTGGACTTTGCCAGACAGGAATCAGATCGACTACATCTGTGCCAAAAGACAATGAAGAAGCTCAATATCTTTAGCCAAAACAAGACAGGAGCTGACTGTGGAACAGACCATCAACTGTTCATATTCACGTTCAAGTTGAAGCTGAAGACAATTAAAACAAGTCCACATGGGCCAAAATATGACCTTGATTATATCCCTCCTGAATGTAGAGATCATCTAAAGAACAGATTTGATGCGCTGAACACCAATGACCGAAAACCAGAGGGATTGTGGGATGACATCAAGAAAGCAAAAGGTCATTAAGAAGACAAAAAAGGAGGAAAAGACCAAAATGGATGTCAGAAGAGACTCTGAAACTTGTCCTTGAGTGGAGAGTAGCTAAAGCAGATGGAAGAATTGACAAGATAAAAGAGCTGAACAGAAGATATCAAAAAGCAGCTCGAGAAGACAAGTCAATTATTATAATGAAATGTGCAAAGACCTGGAGTTAGAAAACCAAAAGGAAAGAACACACTCGGCATTTTTCAAGCTGAAAGAACTGAGGAAAAAATTTAAGCCTCGAATTGTAATACTGAAAGATTCCATGGGCAATATGTTGAATGATGCAGGAAACATCAAAAGAAGATGGATGGAATACACAGAGTCATTTTACCAAAAAGAATTGGTAGATGGTCATCCATTTCAGGAGGTGGCATATGATCAAGAACCAATGGTACTCAAGGAAGAAGTTGAAGCTGCACTGAAGGAACTGGTGAAAAACAAGGCTCTGGGAACTGACAGAATATCCACTGAGATGTTTCAACAAATGGATGTTGTGCTGGAGGCACTCACTCGGCCATGGCAAGTGATTTGGAAGATACCTACCTGGCCAACTGACTGGAAGAGACCTATATTTGTACCAGTTCCAAAGAAAGGTGATCCCACAGAATGTGAAAACTATTGAACAGTATCCTTGATATCACACGTAAGTAAAATCTTACTGAAGATAATTCAAAAACGGTTGTAGTAGTATATTGACAGAGAACGTCCAGAAATGCAGGCTGGATTCAGAAGGGGATGTGGAGCAAGGGATATCATAGCTGATGTCAGATGGATCTTGGCTCAAAGCAAAGAATACCGGAAAGATGTGTACTTGTATTTTGTTGACTATGCAAAGGCATTCGATTGTGTGGATCATAACAAACTATGGATAACATCGAGAAGAATGGGAATTCCAGAACACTTAATTGAGGGTTCTCACGAAGAACCTGTACATAGATCAGGAGGCTGTTGTTCAAACAGAACAAGGGGATACTGCATGGTTTAAAATCATGAAGGAAGTGCATCCGGGTTGTATCCTTTCAACATACTTATTCAACCTGTGTGCTGGGCAAATACTCCGAGAAGCTGGACTATATGAAGAAGAATGTGGCATCAGGATTAGAGGAAGGCTCCTTAGCAACCTGAGATATGCAGATGACACAACTTTGCTTGCTGACAGTGAGGATGACTTAGAGCATTTACTGATGAAGGTTAAAGACTTCAGTCTGCAGTATGGATTACACTTCAATATAAAGAAAACAAAAATCCTCACAACTGGACCAATAAGCAGCATCACAATAGATGGAGAAAAGATTGAAGTTGTCAAAGACTTCATATTACTTGGTTCTACAATCAATGTCAATGGAAGCAACAGTCAAGAAATCAAAAGGCGTATTTCATTGGGCAACTCTGTCGCAAAAGACCTCTTTCAAATGCTGAAGAGCAAAGATATCTCCTTGAAGACTACGATGCACCTAACCCAAGCCATGGTCTTTTCAATCGCCTTATATGCATGTGAGAGCTGGACAATGAATAAGGAAGACCAAAGTAGAGTTGATGCTTTTGAGATATGGTGTCGGCAAAGAATGCTGAAAGTACTGTGGACTGCTAAAAGAACTAACAAATCTGTCATGTAAGAACTACAGCCAGAATGCGCCTTGGAGGCCAGAATGGCCAGACTTCATCTCACCTACTTTGGTCATGTTGTCAGAAGGGGCCATTCTCTGGAGAAGGATGTCATGCTTGGTAAAGTAGAGAGTCAATGAAAGAGGGGAAGGCCCTCAACAAGATGAATTGATACGGTGGCTGCAGTGAGGGGCTCAGGTATAGTAGAGATTGGGAAGCTGGCACAGAACCAGGAGTGTTTTGTTCTGTTGTACATAATGATGCTGAGAGTTGGAGATGACTCAATGGCACTTAACAACAACAACAGCTGGAAAGGTTAGAAAGGAACTTAGGGGGCAGGGAGTTTAGGTTCATGAGGGAGAAACAACTCAAAAACGAGGGTGAGAATGGTTACACAACTCGAAGAATATAATCAATGTTAATGAATTGTACATATAGAAATTATAGACTTGGTGTATATTGTGTTGTATATATTCTCATCTACAACAGTAACAAAATAAATAAAACTGAGGAAAAAAAAAAAAAAGAACAAAAAAGTCATGTAACATAAAAAGCCCCAAAGTAAAGATAGTAACACTGACACTATACACAGTTCACTGAACCATTCATTGTACCATTCACTAAACTGAGAGAGTCCCAAATGATCACCAGGCACTACCTTTCCAGAAGATAAGAACTTTAGTCTACTGCCATTTTAAGAAAGAGGCTTAGCAGAGGAAGTTGGACAATCATCAATCCCATTTTTTCCAAAATTAATTTTATTTAATTCTATTACTGCAAGATTTCATTGTATAATGGAAACTAATGTTAAACTCTGGTCCAAAGCAACAACAACAAAAGAATGTATTATATATTCCATTTGTAAATACAAAGTGAGGAATAAATAATTCCTAAGATTCTATCTCTGCCACTCGTCTGTCAATTTGTCATACTATGGTGGCTTGTATGTTGCTGTAAGGCTGGAGACTATGCCACTGGTATTTCAAATACCAGCAAGGTCACCTCTGGTGGATAGATGTCAGCAGAGCTTCCAGCCTAAGACAGACTCAGAAGAAGGAAGGGGCCATCCACTTCTCAAACAGTGAAAACTTTATGAATAGCAGTGAAACACTATCTGATATATTACTGGAAAACTTTATGAATAGCCCTGAAACACTGTATGATATAGTGCTGGAAGTTGAGCCCCTCAGGTCAGAAGGCACTTAAAATATGACTGGGGAAGGGCTGTCACCTCAAAGTAGAGTCAATCTTGATGTGGATAGAGTAAAGCTTTCAGGATGTCCTTTTGCTGATAGGGCATGACTCAAAATGGGAAGAAACAGCTGCAAACATTAATTAATAATCAGAATGTGGAATGTGTGAAGTATGAATCTAGGAAAATTGGAAGTTGTCAAAAATGAAATGGAATGCATAAAGATCAATATCCTAGGCATTAGTGAGCTGAAATGGACTGGTTTGGCCATTTTGAATCAGACAATTACATGATCTACTATGCCAGGAATGACAAATTGAAGAGGAATGACATGGCATTCATCATCACAAAGAATGTTGCAAGATCTATCCTGAAGAACAGTGCTGTCAGTGATATGATAATATCCATATGCCTACAAGGAAGATCAGTTAATACAGTTAATATTACTATTATTCACATTTACACACCAACCAGTAAGGCAAAAGATGAGGAAATTGAAGATTTTTACCAACTTCTGCAGTTTGAAATTGACCAAATGTGCAATCAAGATGTATTGATTATTACTGGTGACTGGAACACAAAAGTTGGAAACAAGGAAGAATCACTGGTAATTGGGAAATATGGTCTTGGTGATAGAAATGATGCCAGAGATTGCATGATAGAATTTTGCAAAACCAATGACTTATTCATTGCAAGTATCTTTCTTCAACAACATAAACGGTGGCTATACATGTGGACCACACCAGATAGAATACACAGGAATCAGATCCACTACATCCGTGGAAAGAGGTGATGGAGAACCTCAGTATCTTCAGCCAAAACAAGGCCAAGAACTAAGTATGGAACAGACCATCAACTGCTCATATACAACTTCAAGTTGAAGCAGAAGACAAAAGAAGTCCACAAGAGCCAAAATATGACCTTGATTCATCTGAATTTAGAGACTATCTGAAGAATAGATTTGATGCACTGAGCACTTGTTGTTTGTTATGTGCCGTCGAGTCGGCCCCGACTCATAGCGACCCCTCCTTGGGTTTCCGAGGCAGTATCACTACGGAAGTAGGATTGCCCAACCTTCCTTCCGGGGAGTGGCTGGTGGGTTTGAACCGCCAGCCGTCTGGTTAGCAGGCAAGTGTCTTAACCACTATGCTACCAGAGCACTGAGCACTAGTGACCAAAAACCAGAGGAACTGTGGGGTGACATCAAGAACATCATCCATGAAGCAAGCTTTAATGCCTTTTGGTTATTAAAAAGACAGGAAAGGAAGAAAAGACCAAAATGGATGTCAGAAGAGACTCTGAAACTTGTCCTTGAATGGAGAGTAGGTAAAGCAAATGGAAGAAATGACAAGATAAAAGAGCTGAACAGATTTCAAAGAGCACCTCAAGAAGATAAAGTCAGTTATTATAATGAAATGTGCCAAGACCTGGAGTTAGAGAACTAAAAGGGAAGAACACGCTCAGTCTTTCTCAAGCTGAAAGAACTGAAGAAAAAATTCAAGCTTTGAGTTGCAATATTGAAAGTTTCTATGGGCAAAATATTGAATGATGCAGGATACATCAAAAAAAGATGGAAGGAATACACAGATTCACTGTACCAAAAATAATTGGTTGATATTCATCCATTTCAGGAGGTGACATATGATCAAAAACCGATAATACGAAGGAAGAAGTCAAAGTTGCACTGAAGGAATTGGTGAAAAACAAGGCTTCAGGTATTGACAGAATACCCATTGAGATGTTTCAACAAATGGATGCTGCACTGGAGGCACTTACTCGTCTATGCCAAGACATTTGGAAGGCAGCTACCTGGCCAACTGACTGGAAGAGATCCATATTTGTACCCATTGCAAAGAAAGGTGATCCCACAGAATGTGGATATTATTGAACAATATCATTAATATCACACGCAAGTAAAATCTTGCTGAAGATAATTCAAAAATGGTTGTAGCAGCATATTGGTTTAAAATTAGGGTTGTATCCTTTCACCATACTTGTTCAATCTATGCTGAGCAAATAATCTGAGAAGCTTCTATATGAAGAAGGATGTGGCATCAGGACTGGAGGAAGATGACTCATTAACAGCCTGTGATATGCAGATGACAAAACCTTGTTTGTTGAAAGTGAAGATGACTTGAAGTGCTTACTGATGAAGCTTAAAGACTATGGTGTGCAGTATGTATTACACCTCAACATATGGATTAGATCTCATGTAAAGAAAATGAAAATCCTCACAACTGGACCAATGAGCAGCATTACAACAAATGGAGAAAAGACTGAAGTTGTCAAAGATTTCATATTACTTGGATCTATAGTTAACATCCATGGAAGCAGCAGTTAGGAAATCAGACATTATATTGCACTGGGCAAATCTGCTGCAAAAGACCTCTTTAAAATGTTGAAGAGCAAAGATGTAACTCTGAAGACTAAGGTGTGCTTAACTCAAACCATGGTATTTTCAATAGCCTCATAAGCATGAAAGCTGGACAATGAATAAGGAAGACCTAAGAAGAGTTGATACTTTTGTGTTGTGGTGTTGGTAAAGAATACTGAAAATACCATGGACTGCTGGAAGGATAACCAAATCAGTCCTGGAGGAAGCACAGCTGGTAAGCTCCTTGGAAGGAAGAATGGCCAGACTTCATCTCACCTACTTTGGTCATATTGTTAGAAGGGACCATTCCCTGGAGAAAGGATATCATGCTTGGTAAAGTGGACGTTCAATGAAAAATGGGAAGACCCTCAACAAGATGGATTGACACAGTAGCTGCAACGATGGGCTCAATATAACAAAGATTGTGAGGATGGTGCACGACCAAGCAGTATTCTGTTGTACATAGAGTCATTATGATTTGGAGCCCACTAGACAACACCTACTAACAAGAAGAAGATTCTATCCATCTCTGAAATTCTGGGATTCTATGAACAGCGTTAGGAGCTCTGGTGGCATAGTGCCTAAGGCACTTGACTGCTAACCAGAAGCGTGGCGGCGATTCAAACCTATCAGCCACTCCTCAGAAGGAAGGTTGGGCAATCTACTTCCATAGTGATAACCGCCTTGAAAACCCAAGGACGGGTTGCTATGAGTCAGGTCCAACTTGACGGCACATAACAACAACAACATGAACAGTGTTTAAGTTTAATACTAAGCAAATCCACCAGTAATATGTCCAAAACTTTTCAACATAATTGCCACATTTTGTTAGTAAAATGTATCCTAAATACATTGCTTTCTTCTGAATGACCTAGAATAAGAAACTCAGAGAAATAACTAAGCATGCATATAAGCAACAATCTTTCAAAAAACAAAACAAAACCAAAAAAACATAAAACCAACAAGTTAAAGGTAAAACAGACTGCTATGGGAAACAGGTTGTCAATTCCTCATAAAATCAAACAAAGAATTACCATATGACCCAGCAATTCCAATACCAGGTACATAGCCAAAAGAATGAAAGCAGGGACTCAAACAAATACTGGTACACCAAAGCTCACTGCAGTATTATTATTCCCAATAACTGAAAGGTGAAAACAACCCAAATGTCCATCAGTAGATGAACAGATAAACAAAATGTGGTATATACATAGAATGGAATATTATTCAGCTTTAAAAAGGAAAATGAAGTTCTGATTACATGTTATAACACAACATAGATGACCCTTCAAAACATTATGCTGTAAAGTCAGACACAAAAGGCTAAATATAGTATGATTCCATTTATATGAATTATCTAGACTGCTAATTTATAAAGACAGGAAATAGATTATAGCTTGTCAGGTTGTGGAAGGAAGGAATGAGGAGTTATTGCTTAATGGGTACAGAGTTTCTGTTTGGGGTGGTGAAAAACTTTTAGAGACAGTTAGTGATGGTTGCACAACAGTGTGAATGTAATGAATGCCACTGAATTGCATGCTTAACAATGGCTAAAATGGCAGATTTTATGTTATGTATATTTTACCACAATAAAAAATATATATGAAAAAAAGTAAAATAGAACTCTAAGATGTTTATACCTGAGAATAAGAAACTGAAAGATCTGGAATTTCTTTAGAACTCATAATTACATCTTCCTCACAAACTAAGTTTTGTTCTGTAAAAAAATAAAGAAAGAAAAGAAAAAAAAAATTAAGATGGTATAAAATTGAATTGGAAGTGAATTAACCTACCTTTCCATTAGCTTTTCTTACCTCCAAGTTCAGAAGATCCACAGTTTTTTTTTTGCTCTTCCATTTTACTTTCAGTGTCAAAATCATCCTACATAATTACATGAAGAAAAAAATGGACTCATTTCAAAAAGAAATTAAAACAATTGGGTGGAAGTATTTTTGAATAAAGGCTATAATATAGCACTACAACTACCTTAAGCTTGTTAGAAATAAGTGATCCAATAATTACTTTGAAACAGAACTGTGTGTCTGTATTTTTAAATTGTTTTAGTAAACTTATAGCCAGCCAAAATCCTGTCACGTAGAGCCATCCTGACAAAGAAGACCAGCCCCTGCAGAGGTGGTCAACCAAAAGCCTAGCACCTGCAACTCTGTAAATATTATCCAATCAAATATACCCAAGTGTATACCTCTACCCCCCAGTTGCAGTTTTTATAAACCATTGTATCTCCTGGGAACACTGTCAAAAGCTGTTGGCTCTGTTTCCCCATTTTGCAAACCTCTTTGCCATAATAAACACTGTTTTTACATTAAATAGGCTTGTAGTTTTTATTATAACAATTTTGGTGTCAGAAGCAGGGTTCAAAGGACAGCTTCTGCTAGCAGCTCCCTCTAGCCGTTCCTGGAGACTTAAGAAATTGGGCTTTGGACCCAGCTGAATTGTTTGGACATTCATTTTTCTATGGACCTTTGGGGGCTAGCTGGGTGAGACCTCTCATTTCTTAGATACTCCACCTTGTTGTGTCTGAAGTTCAACTGAGTTTTATCAATGGTTTCCCCCCCCCTCCCCATTATTGTTAATTTACTTTCATTTTTATTTGGTTTGGATTTGTTTTCCCTTTTCTTCCTGTTTTGGTTTCTGTCAGAGGTAATTCTACTTCTTAAATCTTGGGTTTTGTCAGGTAGGATAATTCTTTCAAAGGGCTCAGGGTCACCATAAGCTACAAAATGTTTGGGCACAGGCTGGGTACTTAAATGCTGTTAGGGCATCTGTCAGCAGAAACAACTGTGAAAGATGCCTGTGTGAGATTAATCTGGTCAGGAGATGGGCTACAGCACTAGGCTGACTACTGGAAGCATGCAGATACTCGTGTGCTCAGGCACACTCCCGAAAAAGCAAAACACCTTTGAACCCCCTCAGCGTTCCCCCAGTAGATATCATTGTGACTTTGAGAAAACTGAAATCAGTATTCCATTTGGCTGTTTTTGAGCTTTGAGCTACTGGAATGCCATTAGAGAAAATTGTCAAGGTTTTCTGCTCTCAAGTGCAGGTTGAAGTTATCTTCTTGCAAGCTCAGGTTTAAAATTTGAGACTTATAGACCTCAGAATCTCAAGTCTTTTTTGATTTATATCCCAAGATTATAACCAAAGGTAGTTCTCTGAACTGATTAGTGCACATATTTGGTCTAACAAGGAAACAGGTAAGAAATAATCCAAAATCTGAAAAGTACCTCTTAAAAACTCCCACACAAATTATAAGCAAGCATTATATAGTCTTAGCTACTTATTCTTTTTTTTAAGCTGATAATGTATTACTAAAGACAGTCTGAAAAATCAGTAGCTATTTCAAAGTACTTTTCAATTTAAAAAAATAGTATGTTTAAAATCTAAAATAAGAGACTAGGTCTGTAGCTGGCAGTATGAATTAAGTTTAAAAAGAATAAAACCAAAAGGTTCAACCTAAGAGCTCAAATCCTTGATAAGAAAGCCTAGATTTCTTCCTACCCAGATGCTGGTTTGAAGTTCCTGTTTAAAAGTAATTTAGGATTCCAGTGATCATTTTAAAAAAAGTGAGTCCCTATTTCCATTATTCTCTTTAAGAATTTTTTTGTTTAATGCTCACTTTTGGTCAAAGGATCTGAATAAAATCCTTCCATTTAAGAATATGGCAAATTAATAATCTAAGATGTAATTTTCTGCAAAGAATTACTGTATACACTTAAGAAACTGGGTTACTTATTTTATGTGGTATTGTATAAAGCTGATAAATTTATGTTGGTTTTTGTTTTGTTACATGTCTGAGTTTCCATATTGTTTTAATAAGCCATAACTAACATTTGCTGAGTTTTCTTGTCATAAGATAGTCTTTTAAGATAAAAAAGATGGCTTCTTGTAAGATAAGTTTTCAGCAGCTGCACAGAAAAAATTTTATACAAATCAATCTATTTAAAAAGTACACTGAAAAATTTTTTTCCAGATGACTACTTTTAAATGACATAACAAGGCCTTAAAAAATGACAAATTATTCTAAACTGCTTTTTAAAAATCTCATAAAACATGCAAAAACAGTTATAATAATGTAATAATTTATTACATCTGGATGGTATTACTAACTTAGATTATAATATCTTTTCAAAGCACTTACTCAGATTAGTGTAATGATAAATAAGCACTTATATAAATCAAAAAGTCTTAACATTCCTAGGAATTAATGAAAATAAATTTGTTCTGACCAAGATGAGTTTATTTCAATCTTACAAGCAAAACCTTTGTAAATAACTTACAGTAGCTATATTAAATATGTTTCATTTAAAAAACCCTAATTTTTATTAATAAGAAAAAAGACAACTAAACTGCTTACCCCAAAAATAAAATAATAATGGTTTGAATAAAAAATATAGATTACTTAAACAAACCTTACTTTAATAATAATTATGTTTTATAATATATAAGTTTAATTTCTAAAAATTTTATATAACCTACTGGTCTAAGAATTGAGTTAATAAATACTAATTTTAATTAGAATTACAGACTTATTTTTATGCCACAGGAAAAGAATACACACACACACACACACATTTTTAAATCTAGTAATAAGTATGCTCATTTTTTCAGTCACTCCAATGATTATACTACACAGAATATGTAATAAAAATAATTTTTTAAATGGTTATTAACAGAAAATGCACTTGATATAATTATGGTTTTTACCTGTCTGGTTAAAGTTTGCTAATTTATAAAATTACTAAGAGCTTTAAATGTCCAAACAGCAAAGAATCAAGTTTCTTGCTATTAAAATAACAAAATTCTCTTTAAATATTAGATTCAAAAGTTAATTTTATTCTTTGTGCAGTCTATTTTGAAAAGTAATGCTTCAACAAAATAAATTAGTAAATTAAAAAGATCTATAGAATATGTTTGGGAAAAAAACCCATAAAGTTTACTCAATTTTTATAGTCTTATTTTCTTGGTTTACTGTTGACTGCTTTCACTTACAACAAAAAAGTTATATTTTTTTGATATAAACTGCCTAAAAGGCAAAAAGTTCTGTATCGCTAAGTTTATACTTTCATGTCCTTGACTAAGAAACCAAGTCACAAGACTTTAGAAAAAGCTAAAGTTTACCTTTAAAATCTTTAATAACTCACCTATTGTTTCTGACTTGTAATGAGTGCTTATAAACTTTAAAACTTCATAAAAAGCCATAAAAGAACTGTTTTTGTTTTATTAAAAAAATACAAAAAGGTTTATTTACTATATTAAAAATTATATAGGACATGGTCTCAAGTCAAGAAAAATGTCAAATTTTCTTTAAGTTAAATTCTTATGTCAGTAATGTTTGTCCAGTATTGGACAACCAACACATAATATTATGTCAATTACTAACTTAATTGCAACTTCCCATCCCCTCAAATCTAATATAATCAAAATTAATAATTTAAACAGAAGAATACATATTGTTTCTCCTTGAGTTTTTATTACTATTCCAATGTTTAGTAATACAAGATATTATTATATATCTTGTTATATCCAAATGTTTAACATTATATTTTTAAATTATCTATACATTTAAAGCTTAAAAAAATAAGTCATTATATTTAGAAATATTTAAAGTTTTTATTGACTTTAGTTTTGTAGTACTTTTAAGATCTCAATCAGGTCTGATTTAAAAAAAATTATTGTTATAAGTTAACCATGGTCATTTTTAACTTTGTGATGTTCAGAAAAATTCTCCTTTACCATTCACTGAAAACAATGAACTAAAATGTATCAGCAAAAATGGATTCTATCAGACTAATAAAAAGGATTATAAAATTTCAAATGTGGATACCATGGATTAAACCAATTTCTAAAACTTTCATGAAAAATTAATAAAGTTTTCAAACTGCTGCTGATCCAAAGTTACATGGAACTAAAATAAACTACTAAGATTGAACAAACAAAAGGATTACTTTAAGGTTAATATAAAAATATTTTTAATATTCAGTGTTTCATTTTTAAATCTAAGAAACCTTTTTCCTTTCCTTTTTTTAAATACAAAAATCCATCATTCCAATAAATAATATATGTTAATTACAGGATATCCTATGGATTATGTCAAAGTCTGGACATAATATATTCAGAATAATTTAAATGATTCTGCCTGTGGACTCCAAAGAATAAATACTAAAGTCACAATGATAAAAGAAGAAAAAAAATATATTTCTTCAAAATCAAACAGGCCTTGATATCCTTACTATTACACAAAGAGGCCCCTATGCCATTATTGAAACTAATTGTTAATGTTAAATCTTAACAATCCCTTCTTTTCTTAACTGATATTATACTTTGTTTTAAAATCCTTCTAATTGTTTCTCTTATTCTAAAATACTGTATCTGCTATACTTAATTTCACTTTAAAAGAGCATTTTTCACAGGTTATCAAAGGCTTTAATGACCAAAAATCAAAATCCCAAAATCTGCCCAGAAGATTGTATACTGAAAAAAGACATAAATTGAAAGACTCCTAAAACAAATAAACAAATCTGTAGCCCCCCACTTGGTCTGTCCAACCCACAAAAAACTCAACTCAAATTCCAACAACCTGGAAATCAGAAGCAGATGACATCTGGAGCGGACAGCTTTTCCCAAGACTTCTGGACTGGGCCTGTATGGCTCCTAACTGAGCTGGACTTTACTTAAATAAGCTTTACTATTACTTGTTCCAAAGGTGCTCCGGTAGTACAGTGCCTAAGTCAGCTGACTGCTAACCAGCAGGTTAGTGGTTCAGACCCACCAGTGGCTCTACAGAAAGAGGATGGGGCAATTTACTTCCCTAAAGATTCACCTCCTTGGAAACCCAATGCGGACTCCTATGAGTTGGAATT